GCACCAACTGTTATGTTTATCTCTTCATAAACCTAGTGTACACTATTTCCAAAACAATTTGCATAAATCTAAAATGAAGACACAGATTAAAAAGTATGGCCAGTTACAGCAAAGTAGAAAGATAGGAATTAATACTCCCTAGGAATACTCTACATTATATATTGCACTGCTTTATGCCCAGTTTACAATTAATAGCTATTTGTTTAAAGTAGATAAGTGAGACAGAGAAAATAAATTTGAGGTATAAAAGCTGGTGGGTCATGCACCTTCCTAGAAGCACTGAGTTATTGAATGCCATAGAAGCAAGGAAGACCAATGGGATGACAAGGGAGAAAAAGCTTGCAAGAATTTTAATGAGGGTAAAAGGCCTAAGAGTTCATTCCCATTATTTGCTACATTTTGCCTTATTTTAAAGAGTTCACAAACTGTAAGACAATAGCACAAACTATGTGACTTTTATGCCTTGTTGCTTTCTATTATATGACTTAACCTTGTAGTGGTGAAAAGTGCATAGTAAATAAGTTTTAGGGCCTTTTTTCTCAGCAACTATGTGGTGTCTTGGGGGTTGGATGTTAAACACAGTTAACTAGATTTTTTTTTTCCCAAAAAGGAATGCAAAAACTGAGGAAACAAGAAATATCAGTTAAAAGAGCATCAAGATTGCTATAATAGAAGTATCTTGAAAAGAAGGAACTTAAAAATATTTCAACAAAATGTATAGAACCCAACAAAGATTAAGGGAAGCATTTCTAAAACATTAAATATAATCTATATCTTCAACGCAATTTCAAAGGTTCACTTTTGTTGCCTTCTTGAGATCTTTGGAGGTATACTAGATGGGGCTTTTTAGTTACAATAAAATGAAACAAGCCTACTACAGAAATTGTCAGTAAGTTACTATAAAATTCCAGGGGTATTTGATGAGCCAGAATGTCTAGAATGACTTGGTGCAACCAGTCTTCAGAAGAAGTCTGAACCTAGACATAAATGGCTCCACATCAGTAATTTAGGTAAATGTTTTCTTTCTCTGCTCATTGTGTTTGCTTCAGAGTGTGGGCTCCAACCTGGGCACATCTCTTTCTGATATTCAAAAACTAAAACAAAAGATGGTACCCAAGTGATAAGAAACTAACTCATATAGATATTGAATGTTCTTGGTTTTAATTCCAAATACTTGTGGGAAGGGATTCTGTCCATCCTGTACCTATTCTCACAACCTGGCATACATCTGGGGTCACAGTGAAAAGGCATCAGTATGAAAACAGACTCACAGTTCATTTAGAGAACAAACCACATAAGAAACCAGGATTTATAACTTAAGAAAAATATCCATTTATTTTTCCACTTGCCAAATACTTTACCTTCTATATTTTAGGTACTATTCTAAATACCAACCATGCAGCTAGAAAGTGATGTAAACAGGGTAACCAGCAATCTGCTCCCACAAGTCACAGAAATTAGAGTGGCTTCATACAAAAGAAAACAAAGGACAAAACAAATACCTTTCTACTTAAAGATTAAATTTAGAATGGAAAATCCTTCAACAAAACAAAAGTAATTTCTTCAGCTCCTAAAGACAGGAATAGATCCAAAAGGCAATTTAAGATCACTACACATTTGGCCTCTCTAAACACAATATAGATTTGGGTCATTTTTAGAGGAATGGAATTGTGAAACCTATATAAAAAGTTGCTTAATAAATATGTTACATAAATATTTGAGGTCTGTGTAATCTAGAGAATAGATTAATGCAAGTTTATTGCTCATTCATACAAATCAAAGCTTGTAGGAAATGATGATGCAATGTGAAATGACGAGATCCTCTTTGCATGGGCTCGTCTTACTATAATGTGTCAATACTGGGCAGATTATGTATTTTGGGAGGAAACCTCTAAGAGCACCAATAAGACTTAATGTGGTTCTCAGAAGGAATGAAACTTTAAATTAAATGGAGGGCTTTTAGCATATTCTAAGGTATTTTTTTAAATAATGGATCATACAGTAGTATAGAGTTATGAAGATTTTGGCAAGTCTCTGCTTTCTGGACTCAGTAAGAAAAGTAGTCACAACACAGAGCTCATCAACAATTAACAAGACATCCAGAGTGTTCTCTCCTGGAGCACTTGTTGATCAGACCATTTGCACTCCCTTGACTGTTACCTAATCCCAAAAATCTTGTCACTTGGATGCTGACATTTCCCAAATATTTATAAGACTCATTACTTCTCCAATGTAATATGTTGTTTTATCATCAAATTTTCTCTTCATCTACACTACATTGTAGGCTCCTGGAGAGAAGAAACCACATGTGATTTATATTGTGTATATATGCCTGGAATCTGAAACAGTACAAACTCAGGACACGTTTATTAACTCTGATGCAAGGCCTTCCTTCTACACCTTAACTTGTGTTACTCCCAAGTTGAAATGTCTTTCTCTTCCATACCACTTAACTTATGAGCTCTTACTCATTTCTTATGTTAAATTCAAGCCACTTTCTGATGAATTCTTTCCAGAATCATTCAAACTTAGCCATTCCTTTCTGGTCCAGCATGCTCACCATTAACTCAAGACCATACCTTCTTTATGATTCTGGGTTCTTACTTTGTCTTTGCAACTATATAGTTATATGTATTTATAAAATTGTATATATACCCCACATATACCTACATTAGTGTAATGTGTCTAAATGTATGTACACATGTGAGCATATATAGCAGTTAAGTATTACAAATCTGTAATCCTCTATACGACTGCAGGATTGTTAAAGTCAATGACAAGTGATTAATTGCTATTGTATTCTTAGGCTAAGAGCATTTTTGAATAAATGAATATATGTCATGATTAGAAAAAACTATCTTTCAAAGATACAAAATGTATAAGAAGCAAAAATGTAATCAGTAAGCAAAAGAAAACTCTTAAGAGAATTAGCTTCAAATGTATGTGAGTGTGTGAAAATATAGAAATGTGTGTGGATTAGTACAACATTTATATGAACTTTTAGAGATTCTGCTTAGGAACCAGCAATTACTTATCTGATAATACAACTTATTTCTTGTTCCAGCTAGAAACCTTGGCCTTCTTATCTTATTCTTTACAAAATCTTTTCATTCTACCTTGCAATTAATTCAAAGTGGATCTAAAAGCATTGGATATCCAACAGTGTAGAACACTGTTGCTCAAACATCCATGAAGTAGCAAGCTACTCTAGTAGATACTGCTTATAAAGTAGCATCTGTCTGCTACTTTCATATTCTAAACGTTAAAAATTGAGAAGACTATTTTTTATTTGTTTGCTTGTTGAAGCATGGACTTATTCTGTAGCCCATGCTGGCACTGAACTCTTGATCCTCCTATCTCAGCTTCCTGAGTGCTGGAATTGTGGGCACAAGACAACACACCACCTTGAGTAGAGTCTATTTTTTGACCAATCTATTCTACTACCATATAAGATATTAGGAATTACAAAATCATGAAAAGCCTAAGACATTTTCATGTTACTCATTTCAAAGACTGTAATTTACAATATCCATGATTACTTTAATTGTCAATAAAATCTTTTGTTCCATGTACAACAAACAAAGCAAATCATACATGTGAAGTAAAGCAGTTATTTTTAAATTGTACTTCTTAATTTTCTTATACTGCTCTGATCTAATTGACTAAACTATTTCTTTTCCCTGCTTCAGAATTCAACTTTGTCCATCCAGTTTCTTACCTACAATGTAGGACAGTTTGTGTGTATTTCCTTTTAGAAACAACTCCCTGTTAAAAACAACATTAAGTGCTTTTAAGGCCTTCCCTCTCGAGGATTCAAATAACTTTTACCAAATTCCTTTAATAAACAAATATGTCACAGTTAAAAATCATAATTACTAAAATGTACTGGCACTTTTTAGAAAGAGAGCTCTATCAACCTCCAATACAATAAGAAGGTACTTTCATTCATTGCACTATTTCTAATACAAGTCATTTTAAAAATTGTATCAGTGTTTTTATGTTTTAAGGTGCTTGGTTTTTCTGAAGTTGTTAATTTTAGTCGTATATTTCCATTCAAAATATTTGAATAGCATTTTTACTACTTATCTATCAAAAGAATCATTAAAGTTATCATAGTTCTATAAAGAATTTACTACCTATTCAGTTGTTTACTATATGGGTATTTGGAACATCTTCATCTTGATTTATATAAGACAGTGTTCCTGAGAAATATTTAAATATTATTTGAAAACTATATTCCAGGGATATTATTATTAAAAGTGTATCTTCATAATTTTTAAATAAAATAAAATCTTATTTGGGCAGAGACCACATCCCCATCTCATTCATCACAGTCTCTTTGAAGTTTAGATTTTCCTATACCTATTCCAGTTAAAGAGAAATGTAAACTGTAGGCATTAGCACTAATTGCCTGTTTAACACAGTAAGATTAAATCAGAACCTAAAGAAGTTTCCAAAAGGACCAGTTGCCTCTTTGGTAACCTCATATATACACATGCATGCATGTATACACCAACCTACATACATACTTGTGATTCCTCATGAGTCTACTTTAAATCATGTATAGGATTTCACAAACAAATGTCTACCCTGTACCCCTTTTGGTGACAGTGTCTCCTTATTATAATATGAAGTGGTCTAAAAACCCAAAGTGGCAGAAATAGGGAAGAAAAGGACAGGACTAGCTAAAGTCACCAATTCTGATTGGTCCTTTGGCTGTCTTAGTTCATATCCTGTCAGAAAAAGGCAAACTTGCAATGTGTCATGTACTACACACTGACAATCTTTAATCAATCAAACTGCAACAGTAACTACTATCAACTCTGATGTCAGTCAATGTAGCACTGTTACTCTTGTTTTGTGTGCTTCTGTATCACTAATCTCCTGCCTACAGTCACAGACCCTATCAGGCAGAAAAGCATGGCTACCAGGTCCAAGAAAGTAGGTCTCCCTTTTGTTCTTTGCAAAGAACAAAAAGAGAAAGAATGAGACAGCTTTACCCGCAGGAAGGAGAGGTCCCGGCTGTGCTCAATGCTGGTTATCTCCAGGTTACCCATGACAACCTCACAGTTTTCATAGTACTTGCGCAAAGCTCGGTACTGCTGTTCCAGGTCAGACAGAGAGCTCAGTTTATTCTCTGTTCCTGCACACACTGCAAAGACAAAAGATACACAGGACATTATGTAACCTTTAATGATATAAACAATGATAAGATATTGACTTCCTCAAAACTCTTCTACAAGTCTGTCTCAATTCCCCAAATTAAAATATTTCAAATGTCATTAAAACCCATAGACCACTGCTGCTGATAAAAAAAAATTTAATATTTTTATTGCTGAATTACATATGCTAACTGAAGAGAATAAGAAGAAGTGGGTCCCAGAGAAACTCCTTAAGTTTATTTTTTAAGGAGATTCATTTAAAATAATCTCATTTGTAAACACATTAAGTAAATACATTTATCTTCGTTTAAACACGGTTTCTCTTAGGATTTATAATTTACTTAATTTTCTAATACACTAATTGTCCATATGTAAATAAGTTAAAAAAAAACAAAATATGAGAGTAGCAATTTTTTTAAAAAATATTTACTGTATATTGGAAAATAAGCTGTTCTGATTGCATTTCTACATAATTAAAATATGTACCTGTGAACCTAAAAATGGTATCTTTTAATAAATACATTAAATGACATCAGATTGAAATGTTTTAAACATACACTACATACAATATATGTAACAAAATATAGCTTTTATTGATATCAAGAGTCATTGCTATACAAATTCATGAGTGTTCTGAAGTATAATGGCTGATAATAAATTATCTCCAATAGCCATCTTTAATGGGTGGGGGTCTTGATTTGTCACATGTGAGCATATTAAGAGTACACAGTTTGTGCTTTTTGGTTTTTGTTTGTGTTTATATCTTTTATCGCCATCCAGAGTCAGATTGTTAGTTGTTATTTCTCATGGTGTATACACCTACTTGTATTAAAATATTAGTATATAAAGTTAAAGAAAATATAGTAAGTTAATATCCCTTTGACAAATAAGACAAATAATTGACATTGAATGTAAGGCCAAATACAAAGTGCAAATAATTTCAAAGACATTGGGTGCTAAGATTAGTAATAAAATCGTATGTACACCCACCTTTGTGTCATGTACACAGGAGTGACAAGGAAGTCATGACACCTGGTGATATATTGAAGGAGGTGGGTTTCTAAAGATGAAGGGATAAAGTCTAGATAAGTGTAGCCTAATAATTAGGACTATCTTAAAGCCTGCTTTTTCTATGAGTAAATAAAAAATAACAAAAATCTTAATCTAAATGTCTTGGCAAATACTATAGATCTTTAACTGCAATGGAAACAATTTATTAAAACAAAATACAAACTTTTCTAGTCCAGATTCATCAAACGGCATGTTTCATAGACACATTTTGTTAAAAATTGAGTTATGTTCCCTAACTCTTAGTACATGTGAATGTGACCGCTATGATTTGGATAAGTGCCATCTAAACTCCATGTGCTAAGGCCTGGTCCCTAGTCCTTGACACTAAGGAGAAGCCAACAGATCATGGCCTGGAACCTACAAAACTATAAACAAAAATAAACCTTTTCTCTTTATAAATTGATTATCTGAGGTGTTTGTTATAGTAATGAAAGCTGACTAACATGGTGACTATATTTGGCAATACATGTAAACATGTTGAGGTCATTGGGGTATGCTCTAACACAGTATGATCAATGTTCTTTTAAGGAGTGGAAACTCCATGTAAATGCAAAAACATACAAGGAGAAGCCCTGTGACCAAAAAGGCAAAGAATGAAGTGATGTAGCTGCTAGCCAAGGAATGCCAAAGACTGACAGCTACCAACAGAAGCTAGGGAAAAGAGAGGAAGAATTCCACCTAGAGCTTCAGAGGGATTGTGTGACCCTGTTAACACATTTCTCTGGGACTTTTAATTTATAAAACTGTGAAAGATGGTCATGGCTTTAAGCCACTTAGATTGTATTTTTCTACAGCAGCTGCAGGACAATAACACATAGGCCTTTGAAATCTTACATTTAAAGAAGTGTTAGAAATCATTTTCTCTTCCTCTAGAATCCTTTTTGCTTCCTGCCCACCCTCTCCCTTCTCTCTGAGGACTAAGCCCTCCAAACACCGTGCTGAACTTCATTCACTGTCTTTGAGAAAGCAGGTTTTGTAGACTGGTAAGGATGGATGCTACAGCAAAGACTGTTAAAACCCCCAACACCCATTTTGCTCTTCCTTCACAACAGACACCACAATTTTCATCTGGGCATGTGGCCACTCATGAGAAATACTACATTTCTCTCCTCCCCCTAGAAGTAAGTTTGACCTAGGGACTAAGTTTTGACATTTTGTGTGCCACCTCTCCAGAACTTTACTTAAGACACGGTTCTAACCTGACTTTTCCTCTTATTTCTCCCTGGTTTCTTCTATTCTGCTGCCAGGAATGCACGTATGATGGCTAAAACTTGAACAACCACCATGGACCAAAAGAACAAGGGACACCTCCTAAAGATGACTGAAAATTGAGCTAAAATAAGTAGGATTTTTAAAAATTGGGTGTTTCACATTGACATATTATCATTAACATCAAGATGACAGTGATAATGGTCCTAATTGTTAATGACTTATACACTTATGTGCTCTTGGTTATAAGTAATTTTAACTATTCTATCTGGTTGCTTGACTGGATTTGCTTAATTCAAAATGAAACTAAAAAGTCATTTTGGTCATCTGAACATTTTACTGGTTTTGTAGAAGTTTCCCTTATTAAAACTAGCAAGTACTTCACAAATGAATCTGTTAGTAACTACAATAATATTCAACACAAGCAGGACAAGAAACAACTGATTCATGTATGTATTCCTTATCCATCATGATCAAAGTCCAGGATCTCATTTTCCATTATACATCAGAGGTTTTTATGGAACAAAACCCCAGTCAATAATGTTTATGTTACTGCTCCCAGCAAGTTTATAACAAAATCTATAAACTTACAAATTATCTATTGCAAAAAGTTATTATATAAATTTATGAAATATAGCTATTAATTACTCTATATCCAGAGCAGATAAACTTCTATTTTAACAAAACTACTTGTGCAGCAATTATAAGGGCTCCCATAACTGATTAGTAAGCTTCCTACATCATTCATAAAACATACATAAGGCTACACTGGAACTTACGTACAACTTTGATGTATAACCTTTTAATTTGAAATAAAATCTATAATTAACATCAATATATTAAAAATAAACACATTATCATCTAAATGAAAAGGTTAACAGAATATTTACTGAATTCTAACCTTTGCTATAAGGATGTAAATAAATTTGAGAAATCATAACTATTACTATTATAGCTATCCTGTGTATTTTTGCATGTTTCCCATTCTGCATATGAACAAAGCCATTTCATAAATGGCTTTTATGCAATATAAAGCTACTTAAATCTGGATGTTTTAGGTTCACGACACGTTCTCATTATTGACATTTAAATACTCTGAATTTTCAAATATTTAGAATTTTATTTTAATTTCTTACATGGGCATACACTACTCTGATTAGAACAATCTGTTTATATAAGGCACCCAAAAATGTTGTAAAGTCTTTGAAGAAGATGCAATACATTTATCATTATTTCCTATGTGCTGAGCTACATAACAGTACTTTTCAAGAAATTATCATTAAATAATACTCATCTAATTAATATTAAAATAATAGAACTAGTATTTAGAAAATGACCCTCAAGTCTCAAAGTATTCAACTGTTCAATAGTATGAACTGTGTTTTTTGTATTTATCAAAATGAAAAAACTGGATTAACTGTGTTAGGAAATGCTTTTCAACAAAATTAAAATCCTCCAAGGAATAGAATATCTGATTAGACCATTCACCAAACAGTCTAATCGTTGGAAATTTTACTATATGCTGTCTAATACAGGAAATATTTTGGTTTCAGTAAGGCTTTTCTTTATGTTTTGCTTGATCCAAACTACTTAGAATCAATAGTATATTTATCATAGCTTTTATCTTGAAAGGCAGACTTGAGTTTTAAAGAATTAGTTTGGATAGACGCATGAAAGGCATTTGCTGTTCTCTTCATGAAGTCTTCACTGAATGCCTCACAACTTCCATTTGTCAATTGATTTAACAATCAGGCAATATATACAAGACAATGCTTAAGTCATCAAGTTTCATTGATTTCATAAGCCCGTTTATCAAAGCAGAACTGAAAAATCTTCTTCAGTAGCCAACACAAGTTTAATAAAATTCAGCCTCCTTTGTCAACACTATTATCAAGTCCTTAAAAGATAAGCTTACAATAGTTCAAGCTTCAGAAATCCTAACTTTACATGTGCTCCCTAGAGTTTCATTCTAAATGTAGCTCCAGGAGCAAAGCTATATGTGAGACCTTAGTAAGTTCACCAATTATTCTATTTAGTATTGATTCAGTTACAAATGTAGCTATACTGGCAAAAATAGGCCTTTTGATGTAAGAGTTACATCCAGCAGTGAGTAAACTACATAATCCTTATTCAGTTAAAATAAATCAAGAATTAGGAGTTTGTAGCAATTTTGTTGGTTGGCAAAATGACTCATTTGATTCATGGGGAGAATAGAAGCAAACTGAGGAAAAAAGTTAACAATAACCATAGTAATACCAAAGTCAATTGCTGCCCGCAGTGTGCTTTGGCTGTAGAACCTGAACTCCATTTGCTTACAAAAGAAAGATAGTAAAGAGGGGGAAAAAAAGAATTAAATAAAAAAAATTCCCGTAACTCTCAAGATGCTTATCATTTAATGTGTTATCAATCTCAACATTAGTAAATTATTATTTATTTAACATTTATATTTACCTATATCACAGAAAATTATTTATTGATAAAAGTTTTGAAATCCTTTTGAAGGCTTATGTAGTCATAGCAAAGAAAGCAGTGAGCAGCTCATGGAAGCCATAAATTTTGCATCATAATTGAGAAACTGCCTGCATGAAAAGTATTTCAGACTGAGGTTCTGAGTTTGATCCTCAGCATTGAAAAAAAAAATTGATAATGTGATTTAAAAGATTCTTCAATTTTTCTATTTGCTTTAACACTAGTAAGTACTTTCTCTTTC